TTATGATGCTTCATATTTAAGCGGTGACTCAGATCTGTCACAAATTTTATATTCTGAAGTAATAAATCATTAACTGTCTGCTGCATTCAAAAACCTGCAGTTTGAGCAGGAAATCTCATTATCTCACACAGGTCCTGTTGGTCACCTGAAACTGTCTTTCACACAAACTCAAAGCACCAACAGATGTTATTTGGTTTCAATAGAGACCACGTTGTTTAGTCTCAGAAGTATCACTTATCAGTATTTTTTTTTAAATCTGGTTTCATTAAAAAAGTCAAAGTTCATCAGTGTTAGAAAAAGGTATCAACAGATTATTTCACAATAAAAGAAGGATTTTGCATTGAGTTTTGGTTCAAACTGTGAAGAAAGACTTGTTTTTAGCGATTTGAGGAAAGTTGAGGTTTGTGATAAGTCTGTTTACACAAGTGACCAGTTTATTAGCTACGTCTGTACAGTTTAATGCAGTCAATTACAAAATATGTAATGTGGAGTTTGTTTTTATGAGCAGCGAGGTGTAAATGTATACTGGAAGACATTTTACAGAGCTGTTTCTGCTTTTAACCCACCCGGTTTACATACATGAGGCGGTCAGAATATTAGGAACATCTCTGAATATGATGCAGTCCAGTATAACATTATCACAAACAATGAGCTCAATAAAAGCAAACAAACTGAAATTTAGCGGCATCATAAGTTTTATTGTAAAGGCCTGTTTTTTATTCTGTGCCAAATAAATGACAACCAATAAATGATAATTAATGACTAAAATTATCAGAGTGAGTAGTGTCACTCCAGAAATATTTTATTTTTCTCTCTGACATTTAGTCTCTGATCTGAGGTCAGCCTGAGACACACTGATGACAGGTGTTGCATTCTGGGACTGTTAGATGGTAGAGTTCATGTTGGTCTTTGTTCATTCTGTTGTGAGTCTTTGAGGCAGGAGGTAAATAAGGATAGGTTTAGCCCCATCCCCTCACCTTGTCCATCACAGCGTCCATCAAAGAGTTCAGCCTATCAGCTTTCTGCAGGTACGTCTCCTCCTCCTGGAGACACAGGAAGAAAATTTCAAAATAAAGGAAAAAGTCTAAGCCTAACTTAAAGGATTCATTTCAAAATAAAGACAGGATTTTGTGTTTCAGTGTAAATGTCCGTCAGTGCCCCCTAAAGACTGCAGAGGAAACATCATGGAGTCATTACGGTCTAGTCTGTTTATATTTATATTTCATCTGTTATTAATATGAAACAAAGTGTTGACACAGACAACGGCATAACTAAATCAGACACATGCTATACACATCCAGGAAACTTTATTACAAATTTTATTCAACAGTAGGGCGTCTGGGTTAAACTCCGCTTTATAAATGTGTTATGTTAAAATTGGGAGGGAGAGGAAACAATAAATTAAAGAAAAAAAATTATTAAAGAAGTGACAGTTACATGTTTCACCGTGGGGGGCTGTGGCCTCCCCTGCTCACTCACCTGGGTGTAGAGACCGAGACGGACGCACACCTCTCCGAACTCTCCACCATCGCCTTCTGTGGCGTGCAGGTGTCGGCTGAAGCGCGGCAGAGGCACGGCAGGCCGACTGTCAGGAAGGAACATGTTTGCTGGAGCTGCCATGATGACAGCGTTTGTCACTGGACCTGAACACAGACAGGAAGTGATGTCAGAGAACCTGGCCTCATGACCTGTTGTCACCATGGAGACAAGACTTGTGGATGCAATCATGGAGGATGGAGTGCAGATTAAGATGAAATGTGACTGATTCATTTCTGCTGATGGACCAGGTGAAGGACTGAGAGCAACCTGGTCTAGGTTCTGTTTTCTACAGCGAATCCACTCCATTCACTTTTGCAGCTGAACCTGAACCGACTGATCAGCTATCAGCTGAGCTGTAACATCATCTGGATGAGGAGCCTGAAGGCAGCAAAGAGCAGATCAAAGAGACCAAGAATTTCTTTAATTTGCAACCTAGAATAACCTCAGATGCAGCAGAAATGCTGAAAAGTACCACAGTGTACTGCAAGCTGAAAGAGCCAAATTTAAAAAATAATAATTAATCAGTAATCTGCTCTGGGCCATCAGACTCAGTCACCTGTGTGCAGGTGAGACAGCAAGTTTAACACAAATATTTCAGTTCACATGTGAACAGCTGCAAACAGTGTGACAGTTATATCATACTAATGTGCAGTATGTGACACTGTTGCATTTTGTTTTGATCAACAGAATGAGGACTAAGTCATGACAGTGAGTCAGAGTCACAAATGCTGAACAGAATGTGTCTGTCAAACATTCACCATCACAATCCACGCGTACCAATGTTGTGTCTGTTTCTATGCTGGTTCCTCTGTGTTCGGACAGGAAGTGGTTTCATCTTCTCACTTCCTTAAGGTTTGTTTCATTAAGTCCTTTTATTTTTTAGCTTCTGGGATACAGACTTGCTTGTACATGTTTTTATGTAGCTCATCATTTCACTGGTGTAAAAGAAAGAAAGCCTAAGGTACCAAGTGAAAACACAAAAGCTGCTGTAACAGCACAGCATTAGTCCTGTATTTATTTGTAACAAG